TAGGTAAGAGTACAGAAAAAAGTAAAAAATAAAAACCCTATATATTTCAAAAGTTTGATTTTTACTACAAACCATCACCTTATATATTTTCAATCAAAAATTCAGATATTTAGTAAATTCAGATATTTAGTAAAAAGAAATAGAGTAAATAGTATTTAGTTATGCGATCAAATTTGAGAAAGGGTGCGGAGAAAACAAAATAATAATGAATATTACCGATTGTTAAAACGAAATAATGCAAAGAAAAAATATTTGAAATCAAAGATTCATTAAAACATGTCTATGCAGAAGGTAGATCTAAGGTTTAAAAATAACACAAAGAAATTAAGAAATTAACTACGGAGTATTTTTCTCCAAGGAATTGTCAAATTTGAGAATGAGTGCACAAAAGTATTAATTAGACCGTTTCAAAAAACAATGATTTTTGACTGAAAACCAGTTAACTTAGCTCTTTATTTTTAGAAAAAAGTTGCGAGTAAAATGAAAAAAGATTCAAATCACAACCTCTAGGCATGAATGGATTACCACGCACTGTTAAAACAAAAAAAAAGAAATTAAAAAAACAAAGAGATTGAAAGATCCATAGAAATAAAGATTAAGTAAAAATATTAATTGAAATGTGCATATTGGAAGTTGAGTGTATCTGATTCGTGCATCTAGATTTAAGTTTTTGCTTGGAATTGTTGTTTGTAACATGCTTCAAATAGTATAATTGTTTGTACTTATGTTTTGAAGATGTTTTGTGTTTGTCAATTTTACACTATTGTGGAAATTAAGATTATATATGTACTTAGGGTATTTTGTTTTGTTTTTTTTTTAGAAAATTGAGAATGGTTACTACGGGGTATAATTTCAAAAGTATCCAATACAAAAGCACATTCTTACAAACCTATATTATGGAGTATTTTAAACGCCCTGATAGACAAAAACTTCCGTGTGTGCATTTTTTGGTCTACACGATATGTGTATAAAATATAAAAAAAAATATGAACAAGAATATAGACAATAGAATTTGACGTGGAAACCAAATTGGTAAAAATTACGGGCCTTTTTTGGCGGTGCCATGCCAACGAGAATGTTTTGTTATATACTGGAGGTATATTTGTACAGCATATCGGCATGACAGCCATTGATGGAGCTCGAAGCTCCATCGAGAAGGAGAAGACGAACGGGGTGAATACAATTTGTGGGGGGTGTAGAATGTGGTCTCTCCTCTTGGTTATGTGTCTCTTATATAGTGTCAAGGTAGGAGCCTAGGGTTAGGGTTCCCTTAGCAGGCTTCTCGTGTGGACTGGCCCAGTATTTTTAATTAGGCCCGAGGGATATTATCCCATCACGCCCTTTTTGTACTTTTCATTAATTAAATTTGGTGCATGTTATTCAATAATGATATATTCCCGGTATAATTTATATTCAAATTTACATTTTAATATGGAGTACTCCGTATTTCTACTATATAGTTATTATTTTTATAATTTAACTATATATTCAATTATTCAATCATTATAGATAAATATTTAGTCACGCATCGCGCGGGTACGATCTCTAGTTGAAACAACATTGTCGTTACGTGTCCAGAAATTTAACCACTTCATAAATTTTGTGAAGACCTTAGTACTTTTATTTTGTGATACTTAATGTACCTACGCTCGAATAATTTCTTTTAATAAATTTTAGTGAATTTTGTGAATGTCCATCTGCTTACTGAAGGGAGAAATACGAAAATAGCACTTTAATAGTCTTATAATACTCAAAATAGCAGTGCTATTAGTTTTTGGGATGAATTCCCGTTTTTGTCCTTAAATAAACTCCCAAAATTAGAATTATACTGCCATGTATACTCTTTACTGCCACATTATAAATAAATATGAAATTCTTTGTTCTTCACTGCCACAACATGTTTGAGATTGAATTTAGTGCCCTAACACATACAACACTGCCAAAAAAAGAGCAGAATTCATTTTAAGCCGTGACCTTTTAATTTTTATGGTAATTATACACTGCAATATATACTCTCTACACTGTCATAATATGTACTTCCAAAAATTCAATGTCTAAAATACACTGCCACAATATATACACTGCCAAAAATTCAATGTCTGAAATACACTGCCACAATATATACACTGCCACAATATATCTACACTGCCACAAAACACAATAATTAAAACTAAAAATACAGCGAAATCCTAATAAAAGGATGCAAGACAAAATTTTAACATTTAATCTTCACATTGCCTACACCATAACACCTAATCTTCATACTGCCAAAATCACAATGCCTTTCAAAAGACCTAATTTTTTAAAAAGGGACAAACACTTGGTATTTCAAAATTGATTTCACAATACGAATGAAAATTAAAAATTGAAAGAGAAGAGAAAATGATTAGCGACATCAAAGATTAGCATGAGAGAGAACCTGATGATTGCCGCTGCTGATCGGCCAAGGAATCGTGGGCGAAGGACTGAGGACGCATCATCGCCAGCGAACGGAAGTAGAGACCGTGGAGTTCAATAGCGTGCGGGAGAATGGAAGGAGAGATTGTAGTGAATGCCGTGATTTTTAATGAAAAAAAATAGAAAAAGGGGTAAAAGATATGATAGGAAAGGATTGACACCATAAATGGCTAAGTTTGTTAAAAACAATGAGTAGTGCTAAATGCGTATTTTAGGGTGAGTTAGAGTGCTATGTAGGGTGATTTCTTCTTACTCAACTAAAGATCTATTAGTCTAAGGCCAGTAGTACTGGTAATACTTGTAACGCCGAGTGGCGTTATGAGTCTTTTGATGCCTGAGGGGCGTAAAACACTGTCCCCCTCCCCCGTTATCGGTGCATTAAAACTCCTGCGTCAAATTTTTTACGCGATTTGAAGGCGTTATAATGCTTTCTTCCTTCTTTTTTATCCATCTTTTTTCCTCTTTTCTCCTCTATGAATTAAATTAATATTTTTAAAATTCAGCACAAATACAAATTTCGCTCAATCTATCATCTTTTTTAAAAAAATTATTATTCTAAGTATTTTTTATTTTATTTTTTATGAATGTAAATTTTTTATTTAATGAATGTTATTTTTTTATTTATTGAATTTAGTTTTTTATAATGAATGTAATTCTTTTATTTAATGAATGTAATTTTATTATTTAATTAATACAATTTTTTATAATGAATGTATTTTTTTAATGACATATTTGGTTTCAATTCTTTTAAATAATTAAATATTTTTATTTTATTAATTGAATTTTAAATTTAAAATGTAAAAAAAGAGTTTGAAGCCCGGAGCTTCAAACTCATTTCTATTGAAACTGTGAGTTAAGTTAAAGCTAACGTGACAGAGAGATAAAGATTGAAGTCCCGGAGGCTTCATAAGTATTTCAGAAAGAAATATTATTAGTACCCTTTAAGAATTGTTTAAAATCTTTAAATCTTAAGAACTAGTGACTATTAATTTTTAGAATTTCAACCTAAATATATTATCTTTAATAATTCCACAAGAAAAAAAATACAGAAATAATCCAAATGAAACTGAGAAAAAAAAAGATAAGATAGAAAAGATTAGTTAATACGGAGTAGTATACAGAATAATCCACCCTGCCGCAAATTGATCGGGAAAACTCAATCGGAACTCGAAGATCCGGCGCCGGCGTCGCTGTAGTACTCTATTCCGTTGTAAGGATCGCCGTACTCGTCGTCATCGTCGGAGGAGCTGGACTGGAAAGGATGATCGTAGTACTGGGCGGGAGAGAAGCAGAGGAAATCCCATACGCACGCGGCCAGGCGGCCGAGCTGACGGGCGGGGAAGCAGATGACCAGATCTAGGAGCTGGTCGCCGGGGATGTGGTCCGGCAGGCACGCGATCCGCTGCCAGACCTCGGCGGAGGCCGCCGCCACCGAGACCAGAACCCTGCTGTTGAACGGCATCGATGGATTTCTCCCCTCCCCGATTTCCCGTCGGAAACTAGTGCGATTCTCCGCCGCGGGTGTGGATCTGGTTGGATTTTCCGGGGAGATTTGGGCGTTTCGTTGAGATCTTTCTTTGAGTCATTTCGTCGAACATGTTTGGGGTTTATTTCAGTTCATTTTAAATTAATTTATTTCGAAGAAGCATATAATAATTAATAGAGCATTTCTTTTATTTTGGAACCGTTATCAATACTCTGTTTTTGTGAGTACCATAGCATTGAAATCTAGACCGGCCGGTTCAAATAGATAACCAATGAAGCGGCCACGGCCCACGAGAGTGGTGTGACTTTTGGTCTATTAGACTACGTGTATTGAATTGATGTGAATTGACCAATTCAACAAAATATCGACAATAACTAAATATTGTTCTAGCTAAATGTCTATCATTGTTGTAAATTGTTTTTGCCTAGATCTGGTAAAATAGTTTGAGTTCAGGTTATTTCACATTTGGGTTACTTCAGGTTTGAGTCCAAGGTTAGAATTGACAAATCGGTCGGTTAGGTCAGGTTCAGGTTCGGATACTTCGGTTTCAGGTTATTTCGAGTTCGGCTCAATTTGGATTCGGGTTGAAAACTTTATATTCATGACCCAGTACAATCGGATTCGAATCGACCCAACGGGTTATGACTTTGGTTTTTTAAAATTTTAAATTCACATTAACACTTACATTTTCTATTAAATAAATTTAAAATATTAAACAATATGTAAATCTATAGGGTTATTCTATATTAAATTCTAAATTTTTTAGATATATAAATCAATACAAGTAATGTAAAAATGCTTAAGTTTTATTTAAAAGCAAGATAATTATGCAATATCATTAAACTTTTGTCTAAAAATGTAAATTTATACATTAAAAATGAGTAGTAAAGTGTATGATTCTGAAAAACACTTACTTTAGCGGGTTGTTTAGGTCGGGTTTGGGTTCGGTCAAATTTGGCCCATTTTTGGCAGGTCATTTTGGGTTCGGTCAACTTCGGGTTCGGTCATCAAAACCTTTGTTCAAAACTCAGTGTTTTCAGATCGGAATTCAGATCAAAAACAGGTCGGGTCATGTTTTGCCAGATCTACTAAAAGTGCTTGTTCGTGACTCAGAGTTATCAGGTTCGATTATTCGAATTGACCCAACGGGTTAATAGACATATTTAGAAATCAAGTGATCAATAAAATTATTCAAAACAAAGGACAAAATGTTCTGCTTGTAGCATACCAAAAGAAAATTGTAATATATGTAAAAAAAATTGGTTTTTGTAGCATACTAAAAAAATTGCATTAGATGAAACAAATTGAATATTCTTTTAGCATACCCAAAAATATACTATGCATTATTATACAAAAAATGAGATTCTTGCAACATACCAAAACAAAAATTTGCAATCGATAAAAAGTCACATTCATGTTTATATTTTTCAAATGGTACCGTCATTACATTCTTTGTAAAATGCATCACAACATGTTCCGTCATTTTATACTTGCAGCATACAAAAAATATGGTATACAAAAAAAAATTACACAATGCCAAAACAATTTACCATATACCAAAAATTTAAAAAGAAAAGAAATAAAACTTGATTTACTCGTAGATGCAACCGAAGATGATGAATATGATTAAAAATTCTACTCCGTACAATTGTTCTTGTGTCCTCTCACCATTGTGATTGAATGGTTCGAGATTATACTAGTTTCATATGAGATCCATTGGTATTAGAGTTCCTTAAGTCTTGTGTGTAGTCTCTCCTCCCTATGTGCAAAGGAGTATATATATACAACTATACAAATGTCAATAATAATGAGTTAATATATTCATAATTGTGTGTTATGATCTCAGTATAAATCATATAAAGTCTATATAAAAATAGACAATAACCATAGTTTAAGTGATAAAATACGAAATAAAAGATTTATACATTAAACGAGTTGTACCTAGAAGTCAAATATGTTTTTCTTAAAAAGTAATCAACCAGTGAGCTATTAGTTTTGTCTGATTTTGAATCTAATTTGTTTTGAACTTGATCAATATCAGGTCTAATCAGTTTTTGGATAGAATTGATTCCGGGTCTAATCAATTTCGGGTTTAATCAATTCGAATCTAACTAGTCCACGTTCAATCGGGTCTAGATCTGAATGCATTTGGATTTGTTTGGGTTCGATTCGAATCATTTCGGATGTTAAGTTTAACTCATTTTTTAGTTTTCGGACCATTTTAGATTCTGTTCCGAATTATTCTGTTTGGATTATTAAATTCAGGTTCATTTTGTTAGGTCTATTAGAGTATTAGGTCTATATGTAATTATTTGTAAATGAAATTAAATTCATCTCAATAAATGAAGCATGTTACTCCGAATTACAGAGTAAATATTTTCGTAACGGTCGTGTTTAGATGTCTTACATATGTCCTCTTTTCGTAAATGTAAGAGCACTGGTAATACCTGCAACGCCCCACGGCGTGATGGGGCGTTTAACGCCCCGGTGGCGTTAAACACCGCCCCCCTCCAGGCGTGATCGGGCGTGATCGCCACTGCATCAAAGGAATGACGCGGCGTCATTCCACTCCCCTCCCCCTCCCAACGGCTTTATAGCCGTTGCTCCCTTTAAAAAAAATTATTTTTTTTCCTTATAAATTCAAACCCCCCCCTCTCAATCTCTCACACTTTACTTTCTCTTCTCAATCTCTTCTTCTTCTCATTTTAAAATTCAAAATTACTCTTTTTCTATTCATCATGAATCCTTCCGGCTCCGGCTTCGTTCCCGACAATCTCCCCCCTTGTGACGCCGCGATGTGTTTCTACCAAGAGTGGGGCGATCAACCGCCGATATACGAGACGCAACAATCGGGGTACGTCGACCGAGATTCGGTTCCGGAGATTCAACCGGAACCGTCCGGATCGAAAAAAAGTACACGACGGAGGAGCCACAAAGCCAAAAGCACGTTGACCGTTAATTTAAATTTATAAATTTAAATTTAGAAGATGTATATTTAAAAATGTAAAAAAATGAAGGTTTGAAGCCCAGTTTGAAGCCCTGGGGCTTCAAAACCATTTCCAGTGAATTTTGGGTTTAAGTTAAAGCTGACGTGGCAGAGAGAGAAAGTTTGAAGCCCCGGGGCTTCATACTTATTTCCAGTGCTCTAACATTTCTTCCTATCTATTTATTTTATTTGTTTGCATTAAAGACAAATATAAAAAAATCTTTATACCTTTTAATATTTTATTAATCTCTGTATCAAGTTAAACCGAGAAATAAATTTTTGAATAGGGAAAAATTTAAAGTAATAAAAATTGATTATATTTATTTCATAAATCTAATAATTCTAGAATGACAAATTCTTAAGTATATTGCTCATTATATGGATCTTAGTGCATTGATAGTATAAAAGAAGTATGCCTTTTACAAAAAAAGAAAATACCCGCGTACAAACCCATAAAAAATGTGAAAAATTCATATTTTAAATGTGAGTCTCGTGGTCATGTAAGCATCACTCTTCTCGAATAAATGGCATTATAATCAAATCAAATTAGATCTATACTTTAAAAAATCAGCATAAATCGAATTAGAGAAACAGAACACTATAAACAGGATAATGACCTGTTTGGAAATAACATTAGAGATTAACTAACATTTTAAGATAAAATTTCAATGATCCAGATTACATTAGAACATTAACACTAAACACTACCCGTAGATACTCTTTTCAAAATGTTAATGCTTTGTAACGATATTTTCAAACATATCCAAAATGTTACATACAATGTATCAAAAATGGTGTAAAAACATATCCAAGCATGACTCATGTTTCAAGGTTGGGGCTTTTTGCAAAAAAAGGGGAAATATTTGCTTAAATCCGGCAAAGCCTGGGTCCAACAATGTTAAAACCGAACCACCAACCATATTTGGTAAGATACTAGATTTTAACCCGTGCGATGCACGGTCAGAATATAATTTTAAGTTATGTACTACATTATAATACGGGGCAGTACTTATTTTTTTATTGTATGGTTAGTTATATTAAAAGATTTTTTAATAGGTGTGGTTCCGGTTCGAATGACATTACCCAACAATATCATGGGATGACCCAGAAATGCTTTAGCGACTGTTTGGCAACTTCTGAATAGATAAGTACTGAATCATTAAATGCTGAATCAGTAAGAGGTCTGAACCATTAAGAGCTAGTATATTGCTTACTATTCAGAGGAAAATATCTAATCAATTCAGATAGGAGGTCTTGACCATTCAGACTCTGTATAAGACTTAACGATTCGGAAGCAAATGTCTAAATCATTCAGACATCTGAACTATTAAGATGCTGAAACAAATAGTCTGAATAATTAAGTGAGGACCCATTAAAACATTAAACATTAAAACAGGCGGGCGGATAGATCCGCAAGATTCCACCAACCCAAATCCAGAGTTCGAAAACGTCGCTCACATCATACCACCCGTTCACCTCCTCCGGCGACTGCTCCGAAGCCGCCAAACTAGAAACGTCGGCCGACGATATTTCTTAAGGCATCAGTTAAGCTCCAAGCGAGGAGGCAGGTTTTCTCTTAGATGATTCTTCTATTAGGGATTAATGGCTGAATTATTATAGGCTAGGTCGATCTATTCCTTGTGAGTTATTGCTTTGATTCGGTAATCCCGCCGATCATCTGATTAAATTGTTACCGCTCAAATTTGTGCACTAAATTTTGTTCTACTGGTTTCTGAAACTGAATTACGTTTCTCCAATGTCAAACTCTAATGTGTATATATGCCCCTATACCCCATTATCAAATGAATGAACTTTGTAATTAAAATTTTGCCTTTCTCAAGATAACCCTAGAGAATCATTTTCACTTTCACCTCCTGATTTTAGAGCATATCCAGAATGGGTACCATGTATCGATTGTTGTCCATTTCGTCCTTGGAGTTAAACAAGCATTAGTTTATTGGATTTTGCAGTCATGGCTTTACTGACATGGGATCAATCTCTTGGGGTATCGAATCCTTTGACCAATGTTACAACGTTTGCTGCTGCCACTGCATTTGCATTCACGGCTAAGCTTGAACCAACACTGGGAGCTAGTAAAACAAAATTCCTCAAAAAGTGTGTGATTTTTCCCAATAAGTGTATCAGTGTATGTATGCCTTATTTCACCACACTATTTATTTCAGTAAACAAATGTATGCAGTAGAGTAGTTCTTGCTCAAAGCTTGATTGGCGGAAGCTTTGCGAGAGGAGATATGATAGACAAAATGATATACTCCATATAAAAACACTAGGTTTTCAAATGCGGGCATCAAATAAACACTAGGTTTATACTTGTACAGATTATAGAATGGGTTTTCACATCTCAGTTATTGTTATTGATATTGCTTAGTTGAATAGTTGGTTGTTAATGCATTTTTGTATCATCGCACCCTTTGGTTTATTGTCTACAAATATATTTTCACACTGTTGATGCAATTTTTACAGCTAAAACCAATAACCTCAATCTCCCAAGAGTTGATTGCCAACGTCAGAAACCCAAGATTTGGAACCAGTCTAAGATACTCACAAAATCAAAGCCATCTGAATGTAAAAGTTTGCATCTGTCAACAAAGCACCATTCCTTTGTGGCAATAAGGTCTATCAGACTATTCGATAGACCACAATCCTCCAGTTTTTTGTGTGCAGCCGCATCTGTAAGTAGTATTGGTACCTAATAAGAGCCTGTTTGGGATTACTTTTGAAAAAGATAAAACCATTTTTCTTTAAAGGAAATATTTTGTTTCTTTTACAGTACTTCGTAATAATAAGATTAATTTTACAAAATTGGTAGTCATGAAATTTTTAGCTTTAATAGGAATAAATTATCATTCCTCTCGGCAACAAATGCACCAATTTGGTGCTCTTTAGAAAAGTTCTTTTGGAAATGTTTTTTTCAGTAAGCCCTTCCAAATGGGCACTGGACTTTGTGGTAGTCTATCTCAAGTTATTGTAAGTCATCACACTTGTCTTTTGTAGCTTATTGTATGTATTATTGACATTTCATGCAACTATAGCCGATAGGTCTATTGATGTAGTTACACGCACCAATGCTCAAAAGAAATGCTAACATCAGGTTATCAAAGTATTTATTCTAACATGTGGATCAATTTCAGGGCTCAACACAAACTCTGCCGCGTGTAGAAAGCCCCAAAACATCAAATATTGCGCCTCAAATTGGTACTAGTCAATTATCTTTGCCTTTTTAAAAATACCCCATTCATGAAAAAAATTTGTACTCCGTATATTGTCCAAGGACTTTTTTGGGGACGGAGAGAGTAGTACGATTTGATTTGCACATTGGTGTGGCGGTTTGTTTGGGTGCATGCAATGTTTTTCATCATGTTCGATAACAGAAAGTCGTGCATTTCTTTATGGATGTTCTCCTAGCAATGGTTCTTTATTTTTTATATATTCAATTTTTATAACTATCACTTCAATACCTTTTTTTGTGTCCTGCCATCATTTGCAATTCTTGCACATATAAGTGGGTATTCAACTGATTGCAGATAAGGGGAACCCGTCCACGCCAAGACTTGATGACAGCGGGCCCAACCTTCCACCATGGCATCGTGGAGGTGGGGGAGGGGGCGGAGGTGGAGGAAACACATCCGGTGGATTCTTTTTATTTGGTTTTCTTCTTCTTCTATCACATTTGAAAGACGAGGAGGAGAAACTCATCGAGAGGAAGAAAGCCAAAGACATCAAAAGGGGAGGATTATTAGGTACAACTCAGTGACACAATGAATATTAGGGGGACGAATTTGCCCTTATATACATATATCGATCCCCGTCCCTTAAAAAAGGATATGTCCCAAAACAAGGTTCCTCATTCTTCAAAAGATGCGCGGGTTCAAATCATCTCTCTCTCACTCTCTCTCACTTGCACAAGTTTGAACCACAATTTTGTTTTTGTGATAAGTGTGCTGTTATATATTAGCTCAGAATTAGTCTACCAATAGACCCAATAGGAGTATTATAAGAGAGGGTGGAACAATTGCCCCAATGTGTATTGCTTCATTTGATGAGTGCAAAACTTTTGGAAATATGTGTTTTGTTCACTAAATAATAACAATGGTAAGTTTTGGCATCTGTAATGGTAGTACATTATGGGGGTAGCTGTTTTCCTTCACATACCATTATGAGCGGTGTATTTAGTCTGCACTTTTGTGATATCACTTGCAGTATGTTATATCACAATCCAGATGATCATTTTTTATCGTCGTTGTCAGGAGTCGTATATGGATATATTTTTTTTAACAATTTTTTATTTTGGTTACAAAATTTCAATAAATGTATCATTGTATTCAAACTTTTTATCTATACTAATTATTTATTCGTTCACATTAAAGACAAACATAAAAGTTTTACACCTTTTAATATTTTATTAATCTCTTTGGCAAGTCGAGAAACAAATTTTCGAAATTACTTGGTCTCTCTTACATACTCCGTAAATCATAATTGAATCATATTGATAAACATATAAATTTTGTCTAAACACCCTTTCTCCCAAGAAAAAAAATCTTAATTCAAATCATAATAGCATGTGAATATTGGATATAATGATGAATTTCACTTCTAATAATTTTCCTAACAATATCTATGAAAGTCACAAACATGCTAGAGTCAAAAACAAACATTTCACAAAATTCACAAACGTATCTTTTTAACGCTTTCCTAGAAATAAGATGCACTCAAATAATAAAAAATATTTTAATTTAAAATCTACAAAAGGAAAGTTTGTGAAATTTGTAAACTATATGTTTGTGACTTTCCTTTGTGATCTTTATATTTTTTATTCTAGTATTTCTCAATCCCATAACAAGGAAAAACATAAACTTTCAATATCAAAAGAAAAACTTCACTTTGAAAGAAACGTAGGAAACACTACATTTAGAGAAAGTAGTTCAAATGCATGTCTCATCAATGTAAAATATTTTCTTATTTTTGTTAATGGATTCTTACCCGTGCATTATTCATCTAAATCTCGATTTTATAAATAGAAAGTTTAAAATAAATTTTAAGAAAAATGTACGATTATAGCAAGATGTGTATGAATGAAATGAAAAACTTATTGAACTTTGGTACATTGACACCCCAAATAAGGTACGACTTTTTAGTCATATCTAGACATATGGAGAGTGTGCTTTCAATACAAGATTTTCACAAAAATATGTTAAACATATAGTCTTTTGATAAAATAATAGTCTTATCACTACAAAAAAAGAATATAGTTATGTCACTACATAAAATAATATAATTTTGTTAGTCTTTTGATAAAATAATATAGTTTTGTCACTACAAGTTTTGTAGATCTTTTCATGTAGTTTTTAAATATCTATAATTTTTATTTATTAATTCTACATTATTTTTCATATAAAATGATTTGAAACAAAATTCAATCAAATATTATAAATTGAAACAGACAATTTAAATTGGGAGGGAGAGTACAATACAAGTTGAGGTACAATTGTACAAACTCGGGGTGAACCTACATTCTTTCACGGTAGGTTTGATGAGATGATTTTAATCACATACGGAGTAGTATTTTTTTTAGCTTTCCCCATAAAAATCACAATTTGGAGAGAATACACTTGAGGAGAAGAAAGGGATAACCCATTTTTTTCCTAATTTTACAGCCCTCATTTCATGTGTGGAAGACCTCGCCGAGGATCGATAGTGTAGTGCCTCGTTTGGATGACACGATACAAGAAACCCGAGAACTCCGCATTGAATACAAGCACATTGCTCTACTTCTTGTTGAATCCAAACAGGGACTTGAGGGCGTTGATAGCGCCTTCATTGATGAATGATTCGTCGTATTTCTTTAAAAGGGGTTCGAAGTTTGGAGATGATCTGAGATTGGCAAGATCAGGGTCTCTTCTCATTCTCTGTAAGCAGAGTTTTAGAAGAAAAAAAACAATCAAAAATCTGATTTAGAGGTATTTAAATGACCCGTTTGCCAATGTCACATAAACAAAAAATATATAGAGATTTAGGAAAATAAAATTTTGAAAAGTGTACCTTATAATCTTCAAATCCTGCTTTCATAGCATCTTCCAAGGCAGACAACCCAGCTTCAACCTATTGCAAGACCAGATTCATGGAAGTAGCTTTTTGACTAGGAGCTTTTGTGAGAAGTGGCTTTTTTTTTGGCATAGAGAGCATCTATTAGGAATATATGAGTGTGTTTGGGAAAGGTTTTTGGTCCCAAAATTTGCTTTAGAAGCGTTTGGGGTGGTTGTTATTGAAATGTTGTTTGCAAAAACATTGTTTTGAACTTTTTGGAACAACTACCAAACAAGTGACAGAAACAACTAACACAACCCGCTAACAGGTTGCCGAACAAGGCCTTAAATCTCAACATTGCTAAAGTAGATAACTTATAAGTCAAATAGAACAATAGGGTACCTGATTAAGCTGAGAATAACAACATGCAACATTGTAATTTGCTACTGCAGCTTCATTTAGATCTGGTTTTGATCCTAGTACAGACTCAAATTTCTCTAATGCTTCTTCATATTTTCCACTCCTTTGCCATACAGAAAGAGAAAAAAGAAAAAAGAAAGTAGGAACATCAAATACCCAACAGCTTGGAACTTTTCGAATAACAAAAATGCCAGATAATTGGAAATGGTAAGCCTCCTTCGTGAAAACACCAAAAAACACTTCGGAATGACACCTTTCTTAGTTCTCTAGCTTTTCTATATAAAACAATAAATATCAAGATATTTTTTCTCGAGTAGTTCTACCTTGCCAATTGCCACCACTAATGACACCAAGATCTACACCACTTGGCATTTTATCTCTCAGACACACAGACTGTCACACACATACAGTCATTGTCAGTGGAAAGTTTTGAAAGACATGTGGTGTCATGAGTGGTGTCAATGCAGCGGGACTCAATTTTCTTACCATGTTACACGATTAGATGCCAGTTTAAAAATGACAAGGGAAACGGAAACCCCACGGAAACAACACTCACCTGTACATCTGAAGTCCTTCACGAAGATCCATTTCTCTGCGCTCCTTCAGTTCCTTTTTCAGCATCGCATTTTTCAACTGAGACCAAACATGCCATTTTAAGCATATCAATACAAGGGGACCAGGGGAATGAAAAACAACTTCAGCATGGTATTTTTATTCAGGGTGTACATTTGAAGAGAAGTGCTTGCCTGAATCTCTCTCACCCTATCAGTGATAAAACCAGCACTCCTTTCTTGTCTAATAATTTCCTTGTCTGAGAGCTCACCTGTACTATCCATCTTCCCTGACAAAGCAAAAGTCCTTGTTTGGTTGTGAATGTTGACCAAGGATGAAGGGGATGAAAAGATATTTACTTTATTACAGTAATATATTCTCACATTAGGGTGTTGGAAAGAAACAGAATATGAAAAGGTTTAGAAAAACGTTATTTGACGAAAAGAATACTCCATAGTTATTTTCAAATCTAAGGCAAGCGGAGATAGTAGTTTTATTTGAAGTGACAAATAGACAAACTAGAAAAGAAACAATCAGTCCTCCCCACCCCCTCCAAGATTTCCCCTCAGCCAAACAAGCCCTAAACAGCAGAAGCAAAGTTTAAAAAACATCATGCCACATAGGATATGATCCAAAACAACAAGATTGTCAATATTACGAAGAATAACATTGGACAACAATTTAGAGAATAATTAGCAAACAATTCAACTGATAGCTTATATATTACTCATGTATCCCTTTGATAAAGAGAAGACATCCCAAATTGTAGAGTTTTTCCCATCAATCCTTGATATCAGGAGAGCTAACTTACCATTTCTCTTCTCCATTTTCATGAACAATGGGCCCATTCGCTGCCGGATAGTGTACATTGTTCTTCCATATTCAGCAGAAGGCCATATGTCATCTCCAAACACTGCACTGAACAAGTTTTTAGACTGCTCTAGTCACATTCTTTACCATGGATGTTGGTATATGTGTGTTAAGAATTTTGCTTTGCAGTTAACTGGAGTGGATAACGGATGGTTAAGACCTTCATTTTTTTACCAATTAAATTACACGGCTATTCATCTAAGAGAAATGGCTATGAATCTTTCACATTGTGCGCACTAACTGCAAATCAGAAGCACAACAAAGATCATTTTTTAGTTCTAGAACCTGTCAAAGCATGACCTTGCAACACAGATTCTTGCAAGAATCTCATTCTAGTATACTATATGTAGAATATTTTCCACCTGCAAAGATCATTGTATGCGATCCTCCTATGGACAATCATAGCTCTAAACAAAAGTTCCCACCACGTTATTAGGCTAATAGAACTAAACCATTTGTGTAGTTATCACGAATAAATATATAGGTAATTCGACAGCAGTAGAAATGAAAGCAATCAATTTTAACCAAACTATTCTCTTCTTTATAATCTCTTCGGGAAAATTCTGCTTGGTGCTAATTCTACTCTCATTTCTTATTCCACCACCGGTCAGAGGCTCAGAGCCACCCATCGATGACAAGTTCATTTAATGAATAGAAAACACGGAGAGGAATTTTAACAAACACCTGGTGGCAATAACCCTATCCCCAACTGTGAACTTCCCAGTCTTATCAGCCGATCCTCCAGGTTCAATGGCGTCAATATAAGTGCCCCCATCCCTTCCCTTCGCGAATTTCAATCCATAGGGCTTCACTATTTCGACCTTGTACACTTCGTGCTCCCTCTCCCCATTGCCTGATCTGGATGCCTTGAGCGCCAAAGATGGAATCTTTAACGAGTGGGCATTGCAGAAACTGCTGCTCGGAAATGGACAAAGCCAGGGTTGGTTCAGATTTAGCGAAGAACTTAGATATGGGATTTGCTTGGAGGGAATATTTCTTGGTGCTGGTGAAGAAGGAGAAGAAGAAGAAGAAGAAGAAGAACAGAGAGATGTGGGGTTTAATGAAGGCATTGACGAAGCCATAGCCATGGATTAGTAGTGGAGCGATCGGATACAGATTGCCCTGTCTTGAAGATGGAAGGAAGGCGATGGATTACTCGCCTGAATTTGTCCGAGAATTTTGGTGCCGCGTGGAAGTCAGAGTGGCTTCAGTTGCTGAATTTGGATATATATATATATATACTTCATCCCAAATTATATGGTACACCTATTTTTTTTCGGTATATCTCGTTTGATTTTTTCAAGTCAAATTAGATAAATTTTGAACTTTAGTTAAACAAAATTCATAATTTATATTTGTATAAAAATGATTTTATTAGATTTAACTTATTGAGAATTTTAAAAATTTTATTTGATGATATAAATATGCAATACAAACTGAGAGTAATTGAATATCAAATTTTGTTCAATTTGACCAGAAAAAATTAAACTGAAAAAATACACCGGGACGTAAGTAGTAATAAAAAATATGTGTAAATTAAATTATGGACCATGCTACACTTACACCAACAAATATACCCCATTTGTACACCACAGGTTTGCACAAACATTTCGATGGTTTACACCGACACAAGTGTTGGTGCGTTAATAAAAATTCACACGGACACAAATGTTGGTGCGTGTAACAAAAATTAATTTTACACCAACACAAAATGTTGGTGCAAAACTGCGGGGTACAAATTGGGGTACAAATCTTGGGGTACACATAGCATAATCCTTAAATTATTCATGAATGAATACTAGTTCTTTTGAGAATAAACATATTCTAGAATAATGTCATGTTAAGTATGATTCAAAATGAACATTAATCAAGTGCACGTAACTCTAAGGGGGTGTTTATTTTTTCTGCAGGAAAAGGTCTGCAGTCTGCGGACCACTAGTGTAGACATCTGCAAGAGAAGTGGTGGACCGAAGGTCTGCGGTCTACAAGAAGATGACTATTTGTTTTTTAATGTCTGTAGACTGCTATATAAATTAATGGTGGTAGTGTACGGTGGTGGTGGAGGGTGGTGGTGAAGGGTGGTGGTGGACGTTGACGGCGGTGGTGGTGGCAGTGGATGGTGGCGGTGGTGGTGGACGACGGTGGTGATGGTGGTGGACGGTGGTGGTGGTGAAGAGAAGTAGAAGAAAAAAATGGAGAAGATGTTAGAAAACGTTAGAAGACATAGATTAATGTCTTCTCCAAGAAGATTTCAGGAAGACCTTTTTGAGTGAAATATCTTCCAAAAAACAAATAATCTGCAGAACTCATCATCTACGCGCGTCTGCGCGGCGCAGACAAAAGAGGCCAGAAGCTCTTTTGGCCAAAAAACAAACACCCCCTAAGTGCAGAAGACGGGTGTATGCTCCAATTTTATAGGGTGGCAAAAATTCAAAGTAGGACTTTTCCATTTTCCCAAATTAATCTTCCTTTTTGTTCAAGAAAAGTAAAATTCTTGGATTGAAATTTATGAATGGGAGAAAAAAATATAGGTCACTTATTTCATTCCTTTTAAAGAATGAGCAGTTTATTTTAAGACAACTCTAAAAAAAATTGGAAGATTAATTTGACATTGAGATACTACTCCCTTCGTCCCAAATTAAATTGTTTGTTTACTTTTTACATGGTCAAACTTTGGGGTAATAGCATGACTGCCCCCGTGGTTAACAAAAGGAGCGTCAAAACCCCCTCTACTTTCAAAAGTTGTTTGTAAAACCTCTATGATTTTTAAATAATGCACAGACACCCCCTCTTGCCTATTTTTAGGCATGAAATGACATTTTTGCCATTGGTTTTTCTCTATCTTCAAATTTTACTCTTTTATTTCCATTTTTTGTTATACAAATAAATAAAATAAAATATACACCCTATTTCTCAAATCAAAAATGATTCAAAAAATGTTTCAAAAAAATGAAAAATTAAAAAATAAAATAAAATATACCTTTTCATTATAAGTAAAAGTAAAATAAATAAAATAAAAAATTAGATAACATATACTCACTCTATCTCTAATTAAAAATTCCAACTTATTCGTTTTTAAGAGTAACATGATTTTTTAAGGACTTTAAAAAATGAAGAACAGAAAGATGAAATAAAATATGAAGTTAAAAAAGACTATTTTAAATTTTTATTTCTTTCCATCACCTTTTTAATTATTATTTTTACTTTGTACATAATATTTTATTTTTCATTTTCTTTTGTAAAATTCTCCAAAAAAACTTTTGTTTTCAAAAGTACATTATGGAAATTTCTAATTTGAGATGGGAAGCGTATATGTTATTTTATATATTTGTATAATAATGGAAAATAAAATTGGGAAAATTCAAGATCGGAGAAGAAGAAAGGGCATAAATGTCAATTTTGTTTTAAAAATAGGGAAGGGGGCATGTGTGCTCTATTTAAAAACTGAGAGAGTTTTGACGCCCTTTTTGTAAACCACGGAGGACACTCATGTTATTAGCCTGTCAAACTTTATTCCATTTCTTTTTCTTTTTTCAGTAGTCATTTGATAAAATAAAATAATTATATCACCACTAGTTTTATAGATTTTTTGGTGTATTTTTTAATATGTAATTTTATTTTTTAAATTCTATACTATTTTTCATATAAAACGATTTGAAAATAATTTTGATCAGACACCATAAATTAAAACAAGCAATATAAATTAGACGGAAGGAGTATTGGTTTTTTAAAAAGAAAATAATTCTATCAATAAAAAGAAAAATATAACAGACCAAAAGGACAAATTATTTCATCCAAACAAAACAGACTCCAACACACGTCTCGTTAGGAGTGCTACAAACTTGATAAAAAGAATAAGATTACAAGATTGAGTCCATATAATATACTCGCGGAAGGGGACGAAAAAGAAAATGATGAGGAGGAGGAATATGGCTTAGGAAGGGTAAAAGAGACATTTTGCTCTCTTTTCTTTGTCAAAAATAGAAACGGGAAGATAATTTATAGACATCCCAAAAAAGGAAAGTGGAATTTTTTTTTATGAACAGAGGGAGTACTAAAAAACAAACTTAAGGCATTTGCAATGGAATGCTAAATCCGCTCGGGTTCCGAGGTGTGCCATTCATTGACATTAAGTTCTAAGAGCATTCACAATGGCAAGACAATGTCTTGCCTTACCTAGCCATGTCAGCAAATATCACTCAAATCATGACATTCCATGGTCATTCTACCTCACTTTTCATTCCATGTGCATGGCATGACTCTCTCATTTTTTTTATTTTTTTTAATATTTTAAATTTTTGAAAAAAAATATTTTTTAAAACCAGTAGACATATTTTAATAATAAAATAAATGTGTAAAATAATTTTTAAAAATTAAAAATCATTAAAAAGTACAAAAATAGACAAAAATAATGACTTGCCACTGTATGTTGCGACACTCCACTCATTTGCCACACGGTGATTGGGTTATTTTTTATTAGATGAAATAGTCCATGTCACCATGTGACATTTCATTTTTGCATTGTCATTGTTAATGCTCTAACCTTGGTTAATACAGCTCCGCAAATGCTACTCGTATAACCTTGTTTGGGAGAAACAAAACTTGGTCTAAATAAATTTTAAATTAGTATTCCATTACTATTCACGGTGTCAAACTTCATTTACTTTCTTTCTCTCTTTTCATTTGTCATTTAGTAATAAAATAACGCAATCATAACATCACTAGTTACTCTCTTTGTTTTAATTTATACGGAGTATCACCTATTTCGACTTACGATGGTTTACTTGCAAAAGGTAGATAGAAACATACTCCGTAGGATGAAAAAAGAAATCATGGCAAGGGACTTTTGTACAAAGATTATTTACTTGCCATTTTCTTTAGTTTTCTTTCACCTAGTCATAGTCACAGTTCCAATTCAAAACCAGAGCCCCCCCCCCAATGGCCAATACCGACACCTGACTTGGCTAGAACAAAAGCCGAGAACCAAACCGCCATGGAAGGCTCCACTTGTAGTTCTCAATTTTCAAGTACCAAACCAGAACCATTTAAAACCAAAAATCGGTTTTTTTTAATGCTCTCTCCGTCCACAAATAAACTTCCCGTTCACTATTTACAGGGTCGAACTTTATTCACTTTGTTGGCATATTTTCATTACTCACTTGATAAAATAATATGATCACGTCACCTCTAGTTCTGTAGATCTCTTGATATAGTTTTTTTAATATGTAATTTTTATTTTAAAATTCCACACCATTTTTCATATAAAATGATTTAAAAATAACTCCAGTCAAACATCGTAACGCGCAACAGGGAGTTTATTTGTAGACGGAGGGAGTATGAAGTATCAATTTGTTTGATGTGAATTTACAATGGTGTGAAGTATCAACTATTGTGTTAAGCACAAATTCATTTTCATCTTTTTCTATCATTTGATTGTGTGAGAACAACCACATGATTCAAATGAACCTAAAGTGTTTGTTCGAAGCACACATGAAAGATAAGAAGGAAATAGAGAAATTGGAGTGTGAAGGGACCAAACATTATTATAAGTCTCAAACTCCGTACAGTATTAACTCAGCCACATTCTAGGGGGCAGATAATCCCACCAGCAACCAGGGTTTTTTTTACCATTCCTCAGTTAAAATAACTAAGATTTACAAAACCTGCTTTTTGCAGCAATTACATGTCCCTCGGCACGCCCGAATCTCTTGATTATCTTTCACCTAGTAACCGTAACCTGAGAAACGTAAAACACGGAAGCTTCTTAGTGATCAAATCAAACAAATAAAAGGAAACCAATAGGGCCTAGGGGGTGTGGGTGTGTGTACACATACTTTATCACTACTTAGACACGTAGAAAGGAGGTGTTTCATGCATGGTATGAGATGGAGGTGTAACAAGTTCAATTCTCTGCAGCCTCGTGTGAGTTTGAGGCAAGTACGAAGACTATTTGGGGTATTAAAATATAAAATCATGGTTATGTCTTAAACCATCCGTTTAATCTTTTCATCGGGTTAGTTCGTTGATAAAGCTCAATGTCCATTTTGTTTTTTAAAGCATATTTAAAACAGTGATATTGTGTGGCTGGGATTTTTGGGCAGAGGGAAGTTATGTGAATCTAAGAACTCTATCCTTAACACAATGCTTGGTTCAAGGAATTGGAAAGGAAAAAAGAAAAGAAAATGAGAGGGAAAAC